GATTGTTGGGCGAGGGGAATGGAATATCAAGATGGGCAGTAGTTTTTGCCTTGAAACAACAGAGACTTGAAAAGAGTCTGAGGGCAAAACAGACCCAAAGGTCAGTTGGTCTGGCTTAATGCCTTCAATGTCTGACATGTCCCCCCTTTTTAGGGGATCTACCTCCGACAGATTTTGGTCACTGTTGTGAGTAGACCCTTCCTCAACCTGTTCCATCTGGTCTCTAGTTCTCCCTGATCCTGTACATCATGTGAATGTGTAACTGGATTATATAATACTCCTCTGAAGGAGATACCTCTTGGTAATGAAGGTCCGTTCTGCATAGTAACTGAATCAAGAGAGAATCAAGGTCAGATTGTGGAGGCTGCCTAGCCATCAACTTCTGCTGTACCCCGGCTGTGATGCCCCTTCAAGTCGCCATGTCCCTCCAGGCCTTCAATTTGTCAGGCCTATCCTCTGGGAGGAGGTATTCTAGTGTGGTCCCACAACTGTCTGTCAGGCAAGTAGCGTTGCTGAAGGCCTGGGTTGAACCTGTCCCTCTGAGGCTCTCCTGGATGGCATTGAGAGATCCAGGGATGGAGGAAAGGTGAAATATGGAACGCTTCATGAATTTGCGTGTCATCCTTGCGCAGGAGCCATGCTAATCTTCTCTGTATCATTCCAATGTTAGTATATGTGTTGCCGAAGGAGCACTCTGGAACTGTGACCACCCTGGCTGGGGAAGAGGACTGAGACTTCTCTTCAACCTCCCTCATGCATTTTTTTTAAATAACATACTTATCTAAGGCATTTTGGCACCTCTTGGCATCCTTTTCTGCAGCCTTAGAGGTCTCTCTGGGACATTTTGACCTACTTTGAGTTGGTTTATTGTCCTCTGTGGGTATTTTTGGTTGCCCTTGTAGATTCTGACCTAAAGCCCACAAGGTGAGATATCTATATACCTATATATGTATGTGATATTAATGGACCGTTGACTGGTCCAGAGGCAAGGAATCCTCTTGATATATGATCCCCCCCCCCTCTTTTTGGTAAATTCAATTTGTTATTATATTGTTATTCATATTAATATCCTTAATGTTGTTATTATTGGTAATATTTTTGTTATATCTGTGCACAGCTACTAACATAAATTGTTGTGCTGTTACCAAACTCATAATTAGATGACTGAATATGGAATCAAATTGTGAAGCCAAATAGAGAACACCTTTCAGGACCTATATTGCAACTGGATGATCCTGCAGTCACTGGCCTTCAACAGCTTCCTGCCCAGGCAGACACAGGCCTTGGCACTCACTGTTACTGTGCTGCTATATTCTGTGAGGGCTGCCAACTTAAAAATGAAGCCTGATATTCAAATTCAGAAAGAGGTCCCCAATCGGCGTAAATGTCCCCTGGACCCTTATGGAGAGATCCTTGTGAGGGGAAGTAGCCTCTCAATAGATAATTCCATGGAATTCTTATAAACAAAATGACGTCGGCATTGTTTTAGTCGTCAAGATGTAGCATCAACCACCACCTCTTATTGTGAGCCGATGCGAATCTAACTAGAATTTGAGAATTTGAGCAGGAGAACTCTGGCTCCACCCGATCAACAGCCCTTGCTCCTTCTATATACCCTGCAGGGGTATATCTGAAACTACAGAATCTCCTGTGGAGAGATACCTGAGGGTAAAGATGCTCTGTCCTGCTTAGTGACTGGATTGATAGGGAATTCCAATCGGAAGGAGCGCTCTGTTGTTGGCCAGAGCAGTATGCTGCACCCCGGCAGTGATACCTTGTCGTATCATTAATTCCATCCATGGTCTCATCTATGCAGGGATCTTTTCCGGTATCTTGACGGAATCCGGCCGCTGTTGGAGCAATGTGGCCACAGAGGCCCTTCGTGCCACTTGTACTAATCTAGATGGGTTACCTGATCTTGTGCAGCTGCACTGCGTCTGGATTACACAGACAGATCCAGGGGTGGTTGCAGAGAGGGATTGGAGCCGAAGTAGGCCTGGTGAGAGATTAGGTTTGATAGCTTTCTTCAGCCTCCCACATGAACTTCTTCATGTGTTTTTCTAGTACCCTATGGAGCTTGTTAGCATCTTTTTCTGCTGCTTAGGAGGTACCCTTAGAATGCTTCAATTTGTTTGGAGAATTTGACATGGCTCTTGAGCTACTGCTGCTTGCCATTGTGACTGCCTATTAGATTTTACTGTTAATGAGGCTGAAACATTGGGCGGCTGGCATGCCCAGGGGCCTGAACCAGCAATGGCCAGAGAACCCGAAAACAATGCTCCCCAGTTTTGTATAATCTTATGTAAGAATATTGTATTCTTATTCTTGTTCCTATTATTATCGTATTATTTTGTTATTAATATTATTATTTCTGAATTAGCCAAATTTGGAACACCTCATAGGCCTAGAAAGGAACAATTGTTGAAATAAGATGTAGGCCTGCAACAGCTTCCTGCACAGGCGGACACAGGCCTTGGTGCTTGCTGTGGTGCTGCTGTTTAATTCTGAGGGCATAAGCCAACAGTTTCCTCCTTAATAAGTAAGGGTCCAAAATAAAATGATTATATCTGAATATCTATATACATACATACATACATACATACATACATACATACATACATGTATTAGGGTGATTTCCCCCGGGTTCCAGGAAGGAGCCCCTGCTTGGGGGAAGAAAAGCCTCTCACAGTTCCAGAAATAAAATGCAGATCACTACCATGCGGATAGTGAGTCTGCAATGGTGCCGGCCGTTATCTCTTTAGGCACGTAATGAGTTAAATCAGCTCAGCAGCAATTGCGCGCCTTGTGGGGAGTTGATACTGCAAAGTTCCCCCTGAATAAAAAGGCACAGTGGGGCAGATGGCCGTTGATGCCCCCACCTCAGACAGTGTTCCCAGGGGAGAGAGAGAAGCCTCGGACCCTTTTAAAATGGAGCTGCTCCCATGGAGCGTGGGCGGTGGCGATCGCAGCAGCTCGGCTTGAAAAGGTCCTAATGGTACGGGCTAAGAAATGTGAGTTGTTAGCCATGCGGCTGAGGCGTTATTGCCTCCGATCGCCCTGGGGGCGAGATCATTATCCAAAGCTATGGTGAGCTTCCTTGGCTCGAGTTATATGCCGTAGGGAGCTGCTTGACTCATTGAAACTATAAGCCTTAAAGGATTTGTTTAGAGTTTAAAAGCAAACCTTTTTTTGTCTCTTTTTTTGAAGCCTTTGCTGTTCCGGCCAAGGGAAAGGAAATTAAGCTGCCTCTATCCACGAAGGCTGACCAACAACTGGGGATGCTAGGGAGGAGTCCCATGGAGGAGGAGCGTTCTCTCAACCTCCCAGCCTCCCATCCCAATCATTCAATGGATGTTCTGAACAGCTCATCTGGAGAATTTTACATATTGCTCCACTCCCTAAATATGCAGAAACACAGACAAACAGTAAACATTTCATGACTATTGAGTAGCTTGAGCCTTTCAAGGGTTTTGGCAAAGAAAGTCAAGGGCATCTGCAGAGAATGGCAAAAAAAACATCAAAATGGCAGCCATGACCATGAGAATAAACCCCCACCCCTTTACATGTATTTCACACATAAAAGAGCAGAGCTTCATCACATGGCAACAGCTTTAATCATGACTTTTCAAATGATTGCACGTGCACAAACAAACACACAATTCATCTGGTTAAGTTTTGGTACCTACAACTACAATTTCCCTGAAGATGCCACTATCTCCCTTTGGTTTCAAGTAACAAAACTGTGGCTGTATAATTACTGATACTTACTGCTGGAGTTCACTGTTAAAGTTATTAAACAAGCACCAAAGATTGCTTTTACAATTTGAGGTAAAATCTAACTGAAATATTAAGTGTCTTTGGGCAGATATATAATAAACCTCAACAAATTAATTAATGGCATAAAAGTAAACTTTTTATTTTTGTTACAACTTAAGTTCACTTCTTATCTTGAGATAGAGGGAGAAAAAAAGAAACCCCCAAAATTAACCACGTGTACACCAAGAATATTAAAACTTTTTTCAGTTCAAAACTATTTCCCATCATACACACAGATGCATCTGTGAATCCATCCATCTATCCATCTATTGTTCCCTCTTCCCTCTCTTACGGTTTCAAAACCGAAATGTTCAATTGCTTAGAAAATATGACATATATTACTATTTATACACATCAAAAACTATTTGTTAATTTGTATATAAACTGTACAAATTCATATGCATTTAAATTTTTATATTTAGGAAAATATGGATCAGAAGACGTAAGTTCTAGAGTATGTAAAATATTCACGGGACATAGTCTATTTTATTAAACATTTAAAGTATTAGTAATTGTTATCACATCAGTCTACTTATTAGGAAAAGTGTGTTAATCTGTTCCTCTATTCTAAATCAATACAATTTAAAAAATAAAAATAAAACGCAATTCAGTCCCTAATTACAGAAAATTAACTTATGGTTTTAAGACAATTCAATTGATCACACCTTTCTTAGTTAAGAATCTCAAACTTTATAACCATGGCAATATTTGTTAATTTATATTGTATGTGTAGGCAAAAAGGGAAAAAACACCTTTCCAGTAAATTTAGATAGCATTCATTTGATGATGTTTCTACCTGGTCTATAGTTTTCAAACATTCATAAATAAAATGTAGAAGGCACAAAATGAACAATTGGAAATATTATCTCTGCAGTATTTCTAAAGTGGGAATGTCATTTTTAAAATCTAAATTAAGTACAGTCCTTAATTCATTCATATCTCTATTATAAATTTTAGGAATGTTAAATGTTAATTTATACCTATATTTGGAATAAAGAACAGCATATTTTGAAAAAGATTAGACTGAAAATGTACTGCATAGTATATAAAAATAATCTAATTTCTCTTTATTTAAATTGTGTGTAAGAAAATCAGAACAAGAATATTTTATTATTACTAATGAATTATTATTCAAGGCTTCTATTACTATATATTTTTCAATAGCCGAGAGTAAATAGCCTTACTCTTTCTCTGTATCTCCTTCACTTTCTTCTGAATAATCAACGCTCCAGTTATTTTTAAAACCTCCATCCCGTTTGGACTGTGATTTATCCAAAGCTGAAAAGAAATAAGTTAGGATCAGTTCTGGTTCCAAGAATCTCATAAATATATATCTATATATAAAATAAAGTAATTTAATAATGAACAATCCACAGTATAATTTAGGTTCATTCAATCTGGGGGAAAGGAGTAGACAAAACCAAACTAAATTTAAATGCAGTTCAGATGCACTTAATGTATCTATTTCCTAATAGTGGGATGCAGGCTTGTTAGGCAGTCTCTATATAGTTTGTACCATTCCATTAAATAGCATGAGTATAAAATAAAAATAGCATGGATCCAACTAAGGTTAGTATTCTAATCTACACTTTTTATTTTACTAAAAAGCATTATAAGTAAGCTTTGATTGAAAATATCACAATGGAAAGTGGATATGTATACTGTATTTCTCTCTTTTTCTGTTTTTTTTTCCTTTTGCTTGATGTTTTTTACTACCAAAGGAAATGTATGTATGTGTTATCATCTGGAGGAATTCTGGGGGACCATGTAAAATCCATATGAAGTTCTGAAGACTCAAATTGTGTTCTCATGGTGAAACTGATAAGCTAGGCAATGTTTATACACAAGTTCATTTATTTTTTAATATTGTTGTAGTAGTTTACTTCATATTTTTATTTTAAATACAGTGCTGTCCTATAAAGTTGAAGAGCACAACGATGATTTCAAAGTAGGTTAGCCAGCAAATATAACAACATTCCAAAAATGAGTGCACCATATTCCCACTCAGTAGTCAGAAATTTATTGAAAACAAATACTTGCAGGATTTAGCAAAAATACTGTTCATGTATAGCCTTATCATAAATTCACTAACTGTGGCAAAGGGTTGCTTCTGACTCCGTAAAAATGAATGTTCCTTACTGCATTAGTTGTGAACACTATTTGTACTTTGACTTCAAATGGAATGAGGAAGAAACTTAACAGAAATACAAACAGGAATAGACATCAATCACATCTACTAGAGTGTGGTACTTAAAATTCCCATTATAGTACATTCCCCACTTTCATTGGTGTAAATGAAATCTGAATTGTAATTAGTTCTTTTCTGAATTCTATTCCTATTGCAGTCTGAAAAAAATAAATAATTAAAACATCTCATTACCTCTTAGGGAAATGCCCACCCAAAGGCTCCTCTGAGGCTAGGAAGCTCCCAAAACGGAACTTGGAGGGGTGCTGCATGCACATCCCATGCTGTTTTTTTCCTTCCTGAGCCTCAGAAGAGCCTTTGGGGAGCAAAAACGCCCCCCTGAGGCTCCTCTGAGGCTAAGAAGCTCCCAAAAATAGGTGGGGGTAGCAAAAAAGCAAAAAAAAAAAAAAGCCACACCCACCCAGTCACATGGCCACGCCCACCAAGCCTCGCCCACAGAACCGGTAGTAAAAAAATTTGAATCCCACCACTGCTCTTAGGAAATGGTTGGCAGACAACATAGGGCTGAAGAGGTTACAATAAAAAAAATACAGTCACAATTAAAAAAAATACACTGCACAGGCAAAGTGGAAGCACTATCAGGGTGTTCCTTCTTTGTCTGGGAATGCCACAGAAGCCTACACAAAGGGAGTGAAAAGTTCCATCCAACTTTTGACAGTGCTTCTGATGTGCCTCATCCCTCCCTCTTTCTTCTTTTTCTCCATATTGCTTCAACAATAACCTGCTTCTACGATTTCTAGCATAATTCTTTCACAACGTCTCCTGAGGTGCCATTGCTGCCTTAATTCAAGAGAGGAATATTCAAGCACCACCCACTGTAAATGCTAGAAGGGGAGTGGATAAGTCAGTCGGATAGTCAATAGCTGAATAAAAGAAGCATTTTCTTATCTCCCCATTCTGCCATGTGAATTTAAATTTAAATTTAAATTTAAATTGAATTTAAATGACAAATATAGATAAATAATAGATCCCACTTACCCCCCCTACTCATCCTATTCCCTTCCCTGCCTCCCTTCCCATCTTTTAGCCAATTTTCTTCATATGGTATATAAGTTTTGTATATTTTTATCCTTTTAATATTGTAAATTTCCCAGAGTTATCCAATACTAAGATGGGTAGCCAATAAATTTAATAAATTAATACTATTGTACAAAATGCTTGAAAAATAGACAGTTTATTATATGCCATTTTAGCACCCTATAGAAAAATGATGTCCTCAGGAATATAGTACACCAATTATTGGATCCTTTTACAAATATACATTAAACAAAGTATATTTTGAATGGTGCAAGGCAGCATCTATTTCACTGTCATCCATTATATTCTGTACACAAACAATATGCCAAAATTATATTCACTGCACATAGCATTGTATTAAATCGAGTATCAAACAAGATTTCGTTGAGTTCCAAATCAGGGATGTGTTTGACCTCAAAAGGCCAAGGTGGGCGTGACCAGCTTGATGTCACTTGTGCTGGGGGCACCTGCGGTGGCCCGAGTGCTCTACCAGAGAAAACGGGCTCCGGAGCTCCATTTCTGGCTGTGACGGCTTCCTGCAACCCTCTGCCAGCGAAAACGGAGCTCATTAGGTCAATGTGCGGCCTTCTGAGTTCCATTTTTGGCTATGATGGCCTCTTGTAACCCTCTGCCAGAAAAAATGGATCTGGCGAGGGCCACGCGCAACCCTTGAGAGCTTTGTTTTTGCTGGTAGAGGCACTGTGGGCCGGTCCTTCACTGTTTCCGGGTTGGCCACACAGGCCAGATCTAAGCACCCCATGGGCCAGATCTGGCTCTCGGGCCTTGAGTTTCACACCCCTGTACTAAATGAAGTAAAATACAAAAAAAAAAAAAGGTTTAGAGAAATACTAGCAAAAAAACAAACATCAAATACAACTGGAAGGAAGTATATGCTTAGATATCTGTTACTAATATTGACTGAAAATATGGGTAACAAAAATTAGTATTTCTCCATTTTATGTATTTATCATTCACATATATATCCTGTTTTAATCATATGTAATGCTTAGCATCTCATAACAATCAGTAATGACAATAAAAAGTTAAAATATAAAAGCTAATAGAAAAAAATATACTTTTCAAATAGCATCTGGCATCAACCCACGTATACCCCCTGGAAAAACTCCCTTTTTAGAAGCTTTTGGAAGGCAAGTTGAGTTGGGGGTCAAAACACTGTATCTATGGAATGCCTTCAACAGCTGTGAACCCCAATGTTCCGGATTGCTGCAGAAAAAAACATCCCACACTAACCAAATGCTCCACTACCAAAATAACAACCCAACTTCCCACAAAAGGAGCTGTATAAGAATGTTATTCAGACAAGTTCAAACTTGGTGCAGCAACCTGGAACAACAGAAAAAGGAAACAGATCACCCACACAACTTCTCCCAACAGAATGGATACCCATGCAACTTTTAAAATGGGCGTTGGTCTTACCTGACACGCCATTTCTAGTCGAGCTGCGAGGATCATCCAGAGAGTGGGAGGTGCTCCAGTCTGCGTCTGTGTAGGCTGGGCTTAATCATTAGGGAACGCTCCGCCCTCTGTCACATGGTCCCTTGTAGCCTCCCAGTTTATGCGAAGTCGAGAGAGGAGGAAAGTCGTCTAACTCTCATCTAACTAGACCTAAAGTATCATTGGCTGAAACAAGGTTCCCCCAGACGGAAAAAATTAAAAAGGGTGGGGCTGGATGATCCTCGCAGCTCGACTAGAAATGGCGTGTCAGGTAAGACCAACGCCCATTCTCCCTCGAGCTGCTCGGATCATCCAGAGAGTGGGACATACCAAAGCTTGGCTGTCCTACAGGAGGGAATCCGTCTGGGGTGGAAGCTCCCCTGGGTCCTCGATGACCCGCTGGAGGACTCGTCTACCAAACGAGGCCTCAGCTGACGCAAAGATGTCAATCTTATAGTGCCTAATGAAAGGGGAGGGGGAAGCCCAAGTGGCGGCCCGACAGATGTCTGAGATTGGAGCCTGGGTGGCCCAGGCCGCAGAGGTGGCCGCACTCCTGGTGGAATGTGCCGTAACCCCACTGGGAACTGGCAAGGCCTGAGACGAATAAGCCTTGGCGATGGTGGCTCTGATCCATCGTCCGATGGTGGAAGGGGACACCTTGTGGCTTAAGGACTTGGGCTGGAAGGAGAGAAATAAAGACTCTGACCTTCTAAAGGGTTGTGTGCGGTTAATGTATATGTGGAGGGCCCGCCTGACATCTAGGGTGTGCCATCGTTTCTCCCTTTCCCGCGAAGGATTGGGACAAAAGTTCGGGAGTGTAAGCTCCTGAGCCCTGTGGAAGGCTGAATTGACCTTGGGCAAGAAGGTCGGGTTGGGGCGTAGAACCACCCGATCGGAATGGAAGATACAGAGGTCCTTTCTCACCGAAAGGGCAGCAATCTCCGAAATTCGGCGAGCCGAGGTAATTGCCACCAGGAATACTACCTTAAAGGTCAAAATTTGGAGAGAGGATTCTCTAATGGGTTCGAAAGGAGGTCAGGTGAGGGCCACCAGGACCTTGTTAAGGTCCCAAGTGGGGTACCGGTGCACAACAGGGGGACGGAGGTTAGTAGCCCCCCTTAGGAAGGCCCTGATATGGGGATGGTGAGAGAGGGGACCCAGATTGTCGCCGGAGACGACAGTTGAGAGGGCCGCTACCTGGCGTCTCAGGGTATTAGGTGAGAGACCTTTTTTGAGCCCATCCTGGAGAAAATTCCGAATCTGGGCCACCGAAGGCAAGAGCGGGTTGACCATGGATGAATGGCACCACCTGCAGAAGCTGACCCAGGTGGCATCGTATATCCGATTGGTTGAAGGCCGTCTGGCGGCCAGGATCGTGTTAATGACCTGGTCAGATAAATTCTCCTTCCTCAACTTTTCCCGCTCAACCTCCACACGGTTAGTTGGAGCCATTGGGGCTCCGGATGTTGAATGGGCCCCTGAGACAGGGAGATCCTGTCCGGAGGGATTCTCCACGGGGGAGACACCGAGAGGTTGCGGAGGTCTGCAAACCATGGTCGCCTGGGCCAATAGGGGGCCACCAAAATCAGATCTGCCTTCT